GTCCAATCCAGACGAGGAAATCCCCGATGCCGCCACGACCACCGATGAAGCCGCTATTACATACCAAGCTGACATCGACGCGGCTCTGGACGCTCGCAACCAGGGCCAACATCTATCGCCGCCAGCAGGGCACGAGGAAGAGCAGAGCCGGTCCGGAGAGCAGAGCGGGTCAGGAGCGTCCACAGGAGCTCCCGAGGTTGAGACGAGCGCTCCCTAATTTTGACAATTGTATAATGAATTTTCTGCAATGCATTCACGTATTTTCTACCTTATTTTCACGAGATACTGAGCTGGAATCCCGCAATGGCATTCATGGAATGTAACCGAAACATTATGAGTACCCACGGCGATGGTCTACCTGGCAGATAGTGGTCAAGTTTGATACACACCATCTGAGCTCCCACCCGACTTCCGCCCGTGAGTAGAGCCATAGCATAGATGGCTGTCAGCACCGGATCCAGCCCTAGAACCCGGTGAGCCTCAGCTCTGTGAAGCTTGGCCAACCAGCAGAAAATCCGGCTGTGTTCCAGTGTGCTCATCCAGCTGGACCCTGGCCGAGCTGGATCCAGCTGGAGTCCATTGGACGGAAAGTCTGGACTCTACATAGGGGTCAGGCATGGTTCAGGTGGAGGAATCCTGTGGGACCGACCTCGGCGTCAGCTGGAATTCACATGGATTCCATTTGGGTGTGTACTTGGGCCGCGAAGGAAGAGCTCAATGTCCATCAATGCAGCTTTAGCCGAGGTGACATCGGGTGCGACGGCGACAGCTTGCTTGACCCCCAAAGCAGCCATTTTATCAAGAAAGCTCGTTGGCGGCACCGGACGAGGGTATCTATCTCCAGAAAAAGTGCCGGCTTCCCGAGCACAGAGTTCATCCAGCTCTGGAGGGATCATCTCGTCGCCCGGGCTGTTGCCGTCATTCTCAGATTCGGTTAGCACAGACGGCGCGCGCAGACTCGGGGATGGGAATGTGTTGATTGACGCGCGGTCATCGTGCGTAGTAATTTTGCCTTTGAGTATAAAAGCTGTCGGTGCAGCTGAGGGCTGCTCGGGCCTGGATCCTTGGTAGAAAGCATCTACGTGATAGCCCGCCGCAGGAGGCGTGTCCAGAAACACGTCGGTATCCTCACAATTTGCTGTATCAGCCGGTTCCGGTGTCAAGAAAGACTGAGAATTCGAAGAATTTGGGATTAGTTGGACTGAAGAGGCAGGAGTCAGCGTACCCCATGATCATCGCTGTGGTCCGGCCGATGCTTCTTTTACACACGGACCTTGATCGGGCTCAATGCAATCGACGCGACGCGTTTGATGGCTTTCTTTGGGGACGGCAAACGGCCATTCAGGCGGCTTAGCCTGTCGCGCACAGACTTCTTTGGTGGGGGCATGAGAGGAATTTGGGCCTCAGGGCCATTGTAAATTTTTTCAAGGGCGAGCGGCCAAAGAGACTTTGCCATGTGTGCACTCGAGGCGCGTACGCGGCGTATTTTGGGAACTCCTCCTTCAGTTTTGGGAATTTGACGGAAATTCAACTTTGTAAGGCAAGGGCGGACCGATCCCCAGACAACTGTTGAGCCAAATTATTTTTATTCTGCTCATTGCGGCTTAATTAGCGTGTTTCGGTACAATGACTCCCCAATATGGTAATGTCACGCTGAATCACGTGGGGTAACCGAACATGTATGGCCGCTACCTTAAAGGTTGGTAAATACCCAGAGCAGAACTGCGGCGGAAAGAAAACTCAAATGGTGTCCACGTCCCAGCCCGGGATCGAACAAGGATCCCGCTGAGAGCTTGAACTGGACATGGTACATCGACACACTTCGCGGATGCGCGCCCACGCGCTACTAACCCTTTCAGAATCGAACTTTTCACCTATTTGCTTGCGTGTGTGAATCCAAAGACCAAAACGAAAGCAACAAAACCTTCTGAACCTAATGCACGGCCCAGCCCCGAATTGAACAGGGATCCCCGCTGTATCTTTTCCAAATGCAAAGCACCCAAGTGGGACGTGTTACCCATAAAATATCGTGGATCTATGTGAAGCTCCGAGTCCTTTCGGAGTGAAGCACACAAATCACGAACTTAGTGATGGAGGGAACAGAGAGAACGGGGGAAAGATCTCCTTGTTCAGAGAGAAGTACTGTACTATTTCGACCAAATGTTCAGGTGACGGGTGACAGGGGATCATGAACTGAACAAATTTGGTACATGTAATGGTGACGGTCAGGTAATGAACACCTTAATTTTTCACACCGGTTGAGAGCGCAAAAATGAATTTTGAGCTACGCTAAATTGATAGAATAAAATCGTGAAATATGGGCGAAAAAACCTAATGCTTCCAAGCTGTGCCTTGATAGCGCTGCGCCGCGATTCTCTTCCAATGTCCATCCATGAGGCACAGGTGCATCATCAGACTCATCTTCGGCCTCCGACGCCTCCACATTTCCCGACCCGGCAATTCCTCCATCATCGCCGAGAACAAAATTGTCTGCAACAGAAGACCGGCCGTAGAGGAGATGGTCGGAGGTTCACAGGGCGAAAACTCCACTTCCAAAAATCATACGCCATCTCTGCTCTGTTTCTATGCACATTCACGCTGTAGTATGATTGTTATGCTCAATATCTCTTTGGTTGATTGGGCAAGGACACAACTCGACAGTAAGCGAGTGCCAAGTCGTCCATGGCGGCCCGATCCCTTGCTTCTCGAGCCTCGTTGGGATGCTTGCGTAGCATGGGTGGTCTTGACGGGTCTGGGGAAGCCGTCCAACAAATGAACATTTCCCAGGTAGGTGACACAGTTGGACCGATTTTGAACACCAATTCCAGTGAACATCTTAGGTGACAGGTGACACCCTGTGAACATTTGGTCGAAATAGTACAGTAAACTGCAGTAGCCTATTTCTACGTGAGTTTAAATAGGTACGAGGTGAGTCAGAACTGAACTACGGAATAAACTACGGAACTACGGGATCAGCTACGGAACTACGGCGTAAGGTACGGAACTACGGCGTAGTGTGATTTGTAAGTAGACGGATGCGCAGGGACGAGACGGCCCGAGTACGCCGGGACCTTACAATCTACGAACCTAAAACAATGTTGAATAAACAAAATGCAACCAATTTTTTTTTATGCACAGCCCAGTCCCGAATCGAAAAGGAACCCCACTGTATATTTCTCCCAATGCATAAAAATTGCGGATTCGTGTCCGAGCGCTACCGAGCTTTTTCTGAATCGGGCTCGTTACCTATGAAAGGCCATGAATCCCGAAACAAAAATGAAAAAAGTTCGAAAATCGTTTTCAATTATTACCACATCACTCAGCCCCGAATCGAGCAGGGAGCCACTGCGGACAGTGTACATCGACACACCTCGTGGATGCGTGTCCGTGCGCTACTGAGCCTTTTTGGGTAGTATAGGACGCCTGTGACATCAGTTCGTTCAGAGACCTCACACAATGACGAGGGAATGCTTGAAACAAATGTTTCAATCAGATTAACAGCAAAAGAACCAAAGAGCCAAAAGTAAATACATCCACAGTATGTACGCTACGAGGACGAATTGATGGTAGATCGAAAGATTCGGTACATCCCGTAATCTAATCCTTCTTACTTACCTCACACTGACTCCAGCCAGCTAACACTTAGTTGTATACCTCGATTTGGCGACATTGCGTTGCTTGAGAACTCGACCTAGGGTGCCTCGCGTGAAAAACGAAAAAACAAGAAGTCTGAGTGTCGAGTCTATTTCGGATGCCAGGAGTCGAACCCGGATCTTCCACCTACCCATTTGTTTGAGCTGCAACAGAGGTGCAGGTGTGCCGCGCACCGTGCCCGATTCCTTGCTTGTGTAGTACCCTGCATACCTACCCTTACTCGCCGAGGCTTCACGGGCCACAGAATTGGCTCCTGATGCGTGAGAATTATTTTAGGTTCAAAAAGGTTCGAACCTGTCCTGAACCTAGACCGAACCGGACCTAGGGTTAGTGGGGTTCTGATTTTTTCGCAAAGAACAGGACCGAACCGGACGTCGGCAACACTAGCTTGTGTAGTGCCCTGCACACCTACCTTGCTCGCCGACTTGATGTGCGCAAGTTGAACTGAGACGAGGTTGAGTATGGATTCGCAAAATTATGCCCTTCGTTGGGTCCTTATCCTCTTCCCTGGAAGATTTGGTGGACATTCCGTTAGTTGAACTCGACCTCGGGTGCCGCGCGGGGACCCCGATACTAGAACAAAACGAAAGGAGGAACATTAACAAACAAAAAAGTTGTTCCTAGCATCGTTATTCGGACACCAGGAGTCGAACCCGGACATTCCACAGTGGACCATCCACCGACCGTTTTGCGGTAATTGTAAAGAGAGGTGGACGTGTGCCGCACACCACATCCGATTTCCATCCCATATCGTACCTTGCACATGCATACCTTGCCCTTCCTCGTGCTAATTTTTTGTGAAAATTGAATTGAAGACTTAAGGCTGCGAGGTTGAGTGGTACGGATTCACAAAATTATGCCCTTCGTTGGGTCCTTATCCTCTGCCCTGGAAGATTTGGTGGACATTCCGTTGGTTGAACTCGACCTCGGGTGCCGCGCGGGGACCCCCGATAGAACAAAACGAAAGGAACATCAACAAAAAAAAGCTATTCCAAAGATGATCATTCGGACGCCAGAAGTCGAACCCGAACTTCCACCTACCAGTGCGTCAACTGCAACAAGAGGTGGACGTGTGCCGCACACCACGTCCGATGTCTATCCCATGTCGTACCCTGCCTATGCATTGCTCTTGCTAATGTTCTCTGTAAGTGGGACTCAGACCTCTGTGCGGTTGAGTACGAATTTGCACAGTTGCCTTGTGTCCCTCATCCTCTGCCCTGGAAGATTCGGTGGACATTCCATTGCTTGAACTCGACCTCGGGTGCCGCGCGGGGACCTCCGATACCAGAACAAAACGAAAAGAGGAACATCAACAAAACAAAAAAAAGCAGTTCTTAACATCGTTATTCGGACGCCAGGAGTCGAACCCGGACTTCCACCTACCAACTGAGTTTCTAAGCTTCAACAAGAGGTGGACGTATGCCGCACACCACGTCCGATTTCTATCCCATGTCATACCCTGCCCATGCATTGCTCTTGCTAATTTTCTCTGTAAATGGCACTCAGACCTCTGCGCGGTCGAGTACGAATTTGCACAGTTGCTTTGTGCCTCCCCTTATCCTCTATACAGGAATATCTGGTGGACGTTCCGTTCAACGTTCCTTGACCTTGCCCTCAGGCTTCTCGCGTACAACAACGACACCGGAGGAAAACGAAAGGAGGAACACCACACACACAAAAAAAATATTACGCGTGGAATCTATTTCGGACGCCAGGAGTCGAACCCGGATCATCCACCGACCGGTTTATCGGAAGTGCGAATTGCAGGAGGTGTGCCGCACACCACGCCCGATTTGTTGAGTGCGTAGTATCTTCAATGTCATCCGAGCGAATACCCAATAGATATATTCAGTACACCGACTCGTGTCCAGAGAATGTGAGGCAGTAGTAGCAGACGAGAGAGAGGACGAGGATGAGGAACTAATTGAAAACCCTAAAACGACAAGTAGCCCATATATACAGTAGAGAATTGTAAAGTAAGGAGGAACAGGAAACGATCGGGCGTGTGCGTGAGTGAGAGTGAGATATAGACGTAGGGTAGAGTGAGATATAGTGAAACGAACGCGAACGGCGGAGGTGTAGGAACGGAGCAAGTAGGAGTAGGAATAGGAGTAGGAGCACAGAACACACGGAGATTCGAGATTGGGATACACGGGAAAACAGCGAAAGATAACCCCAAAGAATACAAGGGAAGGAAAGGAAGCAAGCGGCGCGTCGCGTGGTGGCGCGGCGTGGCGTGGGCTGTTTTTTTTGGGACCACGATGCAGAGGCAACCGAGACGAGACGAGGTAGATATGCAGTCGAGGGATCGGCCACGATGCAAGCTGGGCAGATAGATGTGCACGATGCAAACTGGTGGAGAGATAGATGATCATCTAGATATGTAGATGAGATGCGGACAGCGGATCGCGTGCCGGCGTGAGGGGTCGGATAGCGTGCCGGAGATCCGCCACGAGGTGCAGGGGTCGTGTGGGCTGGGTTATGTGGCGTCAGATGAGATATGGATCAGAGGGGCAGGAACGATAGATAGGCACGGGACGAGCGATGGACAGGCGGATGGATGGATGGAACGATGGACAGGTGGCGCGACGCGCGGAGGCTAAGCCATCTATCCAACGGATGAATTAATGAGTTCCCCGACGAACGGAACAGGAGACGTACCGTAAATCCTTCCCCGCCCGATCCCGACCGAGACTCGCGCTCACGACGTGAAGCGCCTCACCGCCTGCGGTCGCCGCCATGACTGCTCCCACTCCACCAGCGCGCGCGCGAAGCCCGGATTTGGCTTTACACAGGCGCGTTTGCGCCGGACAAAGGCGAGCGCGGACTCGTACGACATGCCGTGGTTGCGGATGAGGTACGCGATCACGATGGAGGGCGACCGGGAGACGCCCTGCTGACAATGCACCAGCACGCCCTCGCCCCGCGCGAGCGCGCGCTCGATGTACACACACGCCGCCTCGAGATGCGGCCGCAGGTCCACGCTCTCTTTGTCCCGTATATCAATACTGTATGCGACGAATCCGTCCTCCTTCCGCGCAGGGGGGGCCCAGGGCGCCTCGAGCGCCTGCACGAGGTGGGTGACACCGTGCGCGCGGAGGAGGGGGTGGTCGTTGACGGCGGAGAGGGATCCGAGGTAGAGCGCGCCGCTCATCCGGGGTTGCTGTTGCTGCGATGGGTAGGGCGCGTAGGGCGATGAGGACGAGGGGTGCGGCATCGAGGAGGCGGGGGCGAGCGGGGCGGGGGGGAGGATCTGGTGCATGGGGGTGCACATGGCCTGCATGACCTCGGGCGGGAGGGTATCGAACCGAATCATCTTGCTCGTCGAGGAGACGAGTGAGAGCAGGACACAAGGAGCAGGATTGGCGGATGACAAAGCTTTTGATGTGGTTATGCCTATCTCCGCTCAACCACCACCATGCTTTTGGCGTGCAGCGATATTAAGGGCAGATTCCTTATCTTGGTGCTGTTTTGGGTCCCGCGTCTATCGGCTGGCAAGAAAGTTTCCCCGTAATCTCACTGAAATGGAATTAAATCTCAATTTTTTCTACGGCGGCCGACATGCGTTCAACAAGAAGCTTCGACTTCTGAGCTTCTGCCTTCGATCCCCTGGGCCTAGACCGCCGTACCTTGTGTTTGGAACAAAATATCCGCCTCCGGGCCTCGCACGAGTTCATCCACCGACACTTGGCATTCAGGTATGCTTCAAGCTCAGTGGCGAACTTGGACCTGGACCGCGGTGGCGCGGGTTCAATTACACTGTAATTTACAGTGAAAATAAAAATAAAAAATGATTGAAGCCCCCTCACAGCCCAACCCCGAGGCGAACGGGGTCCTCTGCTTCATCGAGAGTCTTATCTCAAATTCGTCGCAGACGTGTCCTAAGCGCAACTGGGCCTTGTTTGTAGCTTGGTACGTTCGTTTCGAGACCGACTTTCCGATCACTATCACCCTCTTTACTTCATTCCAGGACGGGTTAAATGAATGGAATACTCCTTCCTCAATAGCGGCGGAAAAACCAAACCAAACATCGATTCCACGAATTCAAACGAAAAAAAAACGTTCTGAATCGCCCCCGATGGCCCAGCCCCGCGTCGAACGGGTTCACTCCGCCGATGGTATCAACAGGAACCATGTACTGCGGACGCGCTCCGAGCGCAATCAGGCCTTGGATATTGCACTCGGTACGTTCCTACGTTCCTCTCGACAACGGATTTTCCCCCGTTTCCTTCCGCTTTTTGCTTTATTTTCTTTGCTTCTTTCTTTGCACGTTCAATCGAGTTCAGGTCTCATCACACTCGGGGGAAAAACCTGACCTGCTGCGAGCTCGTTCGAAAGGCTCCAATCTTCCCAGAAAAAAAATTATTGGATACCTGGCATGGCCCAGTCCCGAGTCGAACGGGGTCCTTCTGCTTCCTAACCTGCAGGAAGAATCGATCCGTTGCAGACGCGCTCCGAGCGCAACCGGGCCTTCCATATTGCACTCGCTACATTCGTCTCGACACCACATTTTCCTTCCTTACCCTGATTTATCATAGGGCTCGCCCTGCAAAGTTCTCTCATGTGTTCACGGTCTCGTAGAACCCGGTGGAAAACCTGACCTGCTGCGAGCTCGTCCCAAGGCCTCCAATCTTTCAAGAAAAGAAAAGAATATGGTCACCTCGGAGTCCTATAGCCCAGCCCCGAGTCGAACGGGGTCGCTCCGCTGACGAATTCTTCCCACTCATGTACTGCGGACACGCTCCAAGCGCAACTAGGCCTTCCACATTGCACTCGGTGCGTTCCTCTCGACACCGAGTTTTCCCAGACTTAACGAGGCAAAAAAGAGCTACGTCTACCTCACGACTAGGGCTCGAGCCCGAGACGACAACATTACACATCCATTGCAGACGCGCTCCCACTTTCCCAGCGCGACCGGGCCTTCCCTACATATCCAACTGGGTACCTCGTTTTCCATGCTGAGTCTCGCCGACACAAGCCTGACGAATAAATCTAGAGGCTCAACCGCTGAAACCGTTGCCAATATCCTTCTTGTTCACAATATGCAATTCGTGAACTGAGGCATGGCTCTCGCCAGGGAGGAATGCAACTAAAAAAAAATAGGTGGAAAGGCTATGTTATGGCCCAGCCCCGAGTCGAACGGGGACGCTCCGCGGTCTAATGAAAATTGGGACCTCTTGATATGTTGCAGACGCGCTCGAAGCGCAACCGGGCCTTCCATGGACCGTATCGCACTTAGTACGTTCGTCTCGATCCAACTTTTTCTGTCTTGACCTGATTTAGGCCTCGTTCGACGACCTCCTCCCGTCCAAGTTCTCATCGAACTCCTTTTCTTGTGGCCGCAAAAAAAAAAAAGACCTGGTGCTCGCTCGTTCCAAGGGACATGGCCCCTCAAGCAAAACAAACTGCCAGAAACCCCCGCATGGCCTAGCCCCGAGTCGAACGGGGTCGCTCCGCTGTCTAACGGCAGAGAGGATATCATATCTGTTGCAGAGGCGCTCCAAGCACAACCAGGCTTTGCATATCGCACTCGGTACGACGCTCGTCTCGACACCACATTTTCTCTTCCTTGCCTTGATTTAGGGCACATTCAGTGAGGTCTCCTCCTCGTACCATATTGTCACCGCAACTCCTCTAGCGGTAGCAAAACCAAAACTGCTGCTAGTGTGTTCGAAGTTTTCAAAACAAAACTAATTTGCACTTACATATGGCCCGGCCCCGAGTCGAACGGGGTCGCTCCGCTGACGAGCTCCTCGCAATTGCTCATGTACTGCAGGGGTGCTCCAAGCGCAACCAGGCCTTGCATACTGCACTCGTAACGTTCCTCTCAACACTGAGTTTTCTTGGACTTGACGAAGCAAAAAATCTACGACTTCCTCACATTGCCTAGCCCCGAGACGAACGGGGTCACTCCGCTGACGAGTCCTTCGCAATCGATCGTGTACTGTGGACGCGCTCCAAGCGCAACCAGGCCTTGCATATCGAACTCGGTACGTTCCTCTCCACGCCGAGTTCTCCCGAAGTTAACGAAGCAAAAAGAACTACGTCTACCTCACAACTAAGGCTCAAGGAGACGACAACATTACATCTCCATTGCAGACGCGCTCCCACTTTCCAAGCGTAACCGGGCCTTTCATTATCCAACTTGGTACCTCCTTCTCCATGCTGAGTTTCGCCAACACAGCCTGACGAATAAATCTAGAGACTCAATCGTTGCTCTCACCAATGAGCAATGCAGCAAAAAAAGATACGAATATCCTATTACTATGGCCTAGCCCCGAGTCGAACGGGGTCGCTCCGCTGTCTAATGACGATAATACTAATTTATCTGTTTCAGACGCGCTCCAAGCGCAACCAGGTCTTCTATATTGCACTCCGTACGTTCTTCTCGAAGCCAAGTTTTTGTGACTTAACAAGGCAAAAAAGCTATGTCTACCTC